ACAAGTGGCCATTAGAGGAACTGGAACTGTTGTGGGCACTTTGACATTGGCTTCATTTTTCACCCTCAGAGAATGCCGCCTGGCCAAAACCACTGACGGGTGAAGTGAATAACATTGATCATATGTTACAGTGCAATGTTCTGCTGGGAAACCTTCGAAACCTTGACTTGCTCCACCCACCCAAAACGCCACTACAGACAAGTGCACCATGCCATGACAAATGCTCAGGAACATGACAGAGAAGAAAGTGTCGACCCGGCCTCCAAATTCCCCAAGTCCCAACCTGATTGGGCACCTGTGGGATGTGCTGGTTCCCCACCTCTCAACCCATAGGACTCAAAGGATGCAACACTGCGGTGTCAGACACCACAAGACAGCCCCAGAAGTCCTGTGTCCACGCCTCGACAGGTCAGAGCCAAGTCCGATCCAAGGAGGCCCCGCTGTGGATCTGGGGTACCTGCACGTCCCACAGATGTTCTATCAGATTTGGATCTGGGGATTTCAGAGGCCAGGTTCACTTGAGCCCCTTGTCACAGTCCTTGTGCCGTCCCTGAGCATTTTCTATGGTGTGGCATGATGCATTATCCTGCTGGGGGGACACTGCCATCAGGGAGTGGTGCTGCCATGAGGGAGTTGGTATGATAGCTTTATTGGTAGTTTAATGAATGTCTTGTAGATGTGGGTGTGGTTTAGGCAGGTGGGAGGAGGCAGGGTCAAAGGTCACACTTGGGGGTTGGTAGCATTTACTCATTGGCCTGGAGAGAGAGAGCTGGAGAGGCCTTTGAGCTGAACGGGCACGCCACGAAGAAAACGCTGGAGGCAAAACATTCTGAAGACAAGAAGAGAGTGAACAAGCATTTGACACGCCACCACGAATTATCTATGCAAATACACATTTACTCTGAACAACCACGAACAAGAGCGAGCTGGCCGACTGGGCAGACGGAACGACACCTAAGAGGTGTCTGGCGTAGCTGCCCTGTGCAAGTGAGCTGGCTGTGAGGAGCAAGGGTGGTAGCCTTGTGATGAGTCAACCAGGGGTCGCGTTAACCGGATATTCTCGGTCATTGACCGTTTTTTTACTACAATGACCAGAAAATCTGAAGGCCATCGGTCATTTTGACCGGTTGCAATTACCACCCCTGCCCACTTGGCGGTGGAGTGCACAGTCAGTGGTTTAAGTGGCTGCTGTTTTCACACTGCAGAGAAAAAGTCATTCATCTGCTTCATGTAGCGTTCTTGACATAACGGCCTGGACACACCAGGCAGTGCATTTCTCCTGCGCTCGACTCCACTCGTCTGTTCCCGTCAGTACTCGTTTTTTCACATCAACAGGTCATTTTAAACATGGGTAAGTCCATATTTCAATCGTTGTTATAACGTAATAAGTTAATGACAGTTTGTCATTGCATGTCCATGTATTGAGCATGTTGGATAAACACTGAATGAATAGGGCATATTGTTCTGACCATTTAATTCATATAGTTATGCCTGTAGGCTCGGTGACACAAAATTAAAATTGTAATGAAGTGATTAGGGTATTGAAAAATGTGTTCGGTTATGCACTGTTGTGTTATTTTAAATTATAAACACGGTATTTTCTCCTCACATTCTTCAGTGTGCACTGTTGTTATTTTATTTTGAAAATTGGCCGGATTCTCTCGTCTTTTCTGTGTCTGACTTCCTGTTTGGCACGATCCGCTCGATCCAGCTTGACAGAAGAGCTCGCGGCTCGCGTGAAAAATAGACCAGGCGCCGAACTGAAGCGCTGCGGTGTGTCGTTCATGTCCTTATTAATGCACACTTTATAACTTGCTTGTTGGATTTATTAAACGAACGAATGAAAACTAAATATCTTTGAATATGTTTATTATCATTTAAAAACAAAAATAAAAATGGCCGGTAAAAATAGATTATGACCAGATTTTTATGACCCTGTCAGTCAAAATGACTGGAGACGAAAAAGTCTAGCACAACGTCTGGAGCCAACCACACACACACCCCAGATAGAAAAGATTACACTCACCCACGGGAGTCCAGGTACATTTCTCACATCTAATGCAACACGTAGGGACTAAGGCACTAAGTTATAGGACGCCTAGCTTTAGTTTCTGAGCTGTATGTTCTGGCTGATCGACTTATTTCAAAGCACCTGTTTTCAACCTCTCACACAATTCATGCAGTGCAACCCAAGTCTCATGATCAGTGCTTCCCAAACACATGCATTGTTGCTAAAACGTTACAACATAAAACACTTATGAGTAGTTCGCCCTGGGCACTTGTGTGCATGTGTTTGGGAAGTACTGAGCGTATGACTGCATAAATAAGACTTGGGTCATACTGTACGAGTTGTGTGAGAATTTGTAGACAGATGATTTGATATAGTTTTGCTGTTGTTAAACACCATCCCTGTTTATCTCAATTCATGAAGAATGTTGTCCTTTTTGGATCATTGGTTCACTGTGGAGGCATGCAAGAAAAACAAACTTTTCTTTACAAATTCAAGGGAACTGATAGTTGATATAAAAATGGTCATTTTGAGAGACAAGTATTCCTTTAAGCCACCACAGCACAGTTTACAGGTGCTGATCAGAACGCAGGTGAACAGACGCTGCTGCAGAACCACAGTAAAGTAGAAAGTCTCACAACTGAAGCCATCAGAGGGTTTTTCAATAGACAGTAATGAAACATAATCAGATAATCAGCCTCATCAAGATAACCAGCCTCCAACGGAGAATAACAGAGGACTGAAAGAAGATGAAGCGCCGTGTTTTAAAAATCAACAAGAGTTGAATGAGGTTTGGTTGGTGTGATGATGATATCTGCTGCATGAGGAGGCTTTTGAAACTACTCCAGTTAATCAGCCGCTGTGAAGAGTGACAGACGGAGAGGAGAGTGCTCATGGGTAGCAATTATTCAATCAACACACACACACACACACACACACACACACACACGCACCGGCTGTGATTTTAATAAGGGCCAGCAGCGTCCTCGTTAGATGTTATTATGTTATTAGAAGCTGATGTTTAAAATTAGACCTTTGATTGAAATTAAACACACAGAGGGAGTGAAGGACTCTCACTCTAAAGAACATTTCCAGATTTATTCTACATTTATAACATTTTCTTTTAATAACATTTCTGACCGTGTGTGAACAACAGAAACAAAGTGTGTGTCCTTTACACCCTCTGGTGTAACAAAGAGTCACAGTACAGAGGAAATGAATCTATCTGTGTCCGTGGCAGCGATGTGGACAGGTGGATGATAAAAATAAAATCCAACAGTGTGTATCTGCACACCTGCCGTCTTCACAATGACGCCGCACCAATTTTAATCTGCCTTAAAGTCTTTAATTCTGTCCAATATAACCAGTGTGTTTGTTTCTGAAATGCTAAGACTGTTTTTTTTTGTCCAGTTTCTCTGGTTTTCCTCTAAAAAGGGTTTGTATGAAACAGTGGTGGAAGAAGTATTCACATACTGAAGTAAGAGTAGCTGATCCAGGAGAGAGATTATTTAGCTTCAGAAGGAAGAGCAGTATTTTCCAGAGCTCTAAAAGTCCATTCTCATTGAGGGTGAATATCCGCACGGATTATTCTTGCGAAAAAATATAAAAGCTGATTTCATGGGTTCTTATGGAAGTTTGCACACCGGGGCGGAACCTTTGTGCGGTGAAAAAGTTTCCGCCCAGACTTTGACCCCCGCGGAATTCGCCGGCGGAACTACACAGCTGGGCCAATGAAATTGTTTGTTTATAGTGACGTCGCGCAGACCCGGAAGAGTCCAAAATCCAGTCAGGCAGGAGAGTATGGGAGAAAGGTTGATAAACCTCGTTTCACAGCATCCCGTCCTTTTTGATAAAAGACGGGATGATTTTATGAACAATGAATTAAAGGATAACATCTGGCAGTCCATTGTCCAGCTTGGTAGCTGCGGTGAGAGTGGTAAGTGCTAAAGAAAGTTGATGTTGACGCTTGTTAAATGTTAGCTTGCTAGCTCGCTGCTGCTGCTACTCTCGTCCATGTTCACCCACACCCGTTCACACTGCGCTGACTTGGAACACAACAACGCGAAATTCCGCACCGCGCCCGTACCGCGCCTGTGTGCATGGTTTAAACGTGGAAAAGCGCTGCGTGAATATTCCGCAAATCCGTCCCGAATTTCAGCATCGCGGCAGTGAGAATGAACCTTAAGACAGTCAGATTTCAGACTTTTTAAAGACTTCTTAACTTTAAGACCAATTTTACAACAACCAAAAAATAAATAAAATTTATAATTAGTTATTTATAATTTGAGAAAATTCTGTCCAAACCAGTGTTAATTTCGTTGGTGAAAACTATGACGAGTTAAAAAAAGGTTTCTTGATGATAAAAACTAAGACAAATTTATGTTACATTTTCGCTGACAGGACGAAAATGTTAGTTGTGGATTATCGGACATTGAAAGCTGAGAACGGCCGTGTTTTTATTGTGAGTGACAGGCTGGTAAACTCCAGCAAATAGTCCGCACCAGGATGTTTCAGTAGCCAGCAAAAACACTCACACCAGAGCCGTTGGTGCGAGCTGTGAGCTGGATTCAACAGTAAATAATCAGCTATCAGTTATTGTGAAATTTTAAGTTAATTTTTTTTAAGAAGATTGATTTAAGACATTTTAATACTGATTAATAATATCTTAGATTAAAGTGTGAATATTTATGTTTAATATCAAGTTTATTAATAAAATTTAAAAGAGGTGGGACAAAAATTTACTTCCTTTAACTTTTTATATTTATATGTCTGCTGGATATTCTGATTTTTTTTTACTTATACATTGAATTTTTCTTTATTTTGCATGTTTGGAATAAAATCTAAAACAAATCTAAATCAACACCTAGATTAGTGAATTCAATGCCATCTTGGACTTTTTAAGGAACTGCAGGAATCCTGAGGAGAATTTTCTGAACTCATAAAGAAACACTTCATCTTTCAGTTTATCACAAACAAACGATCTGGTTCTCACCGTGGTGGTCTTGACTCGGCCTCCTGGTTGCGTGCAGGTCCAGCCCGACTGATTGACCAGGAGATCACATCCTTCATCGTCCAAACACGGAGACATCTCACACCACTGTCGAGCCCACACGATACGAACTGAGGAGGAGGAAGATGAAGATGTTATCTAGATCATCATTTGCTGTTTTATTACTTCATAACTATGCAACACTTATTCCTCTGCACTTCTGTTTTTATGAGTATTCTCAGTGCACTTTATTTCACTTTAATGTCCTGTCCACGCTGAATGTCTTGTTTGCTATATGTTCTTTACTGATTCATGAGTAACGACATTTCGTTCACTGGACACTGCTGAATATAGAGAATAACAATAAATTGGAATGTAAAAAATGGACATCACGAATTAGAATATAAATCAGAAACTGTTTGTCTCCAAAACTTACAGGATTTGTTAAATAATAATGTTGAATCATGTGTCTAAAACTTTTTTGAAACAGAGGGCGTCACCAGTTCCAAACAACTGCATTCACTCTTCACAAAACTTGGGTCATAAATCAATGACCGTTTGTACAAACATCACCAAACTCAATGGATATTTTCAACAAAGCCATTGAAGCGTCACCCCGAAAGCTTTCTGCCACTGACCAATAAAAAGCAACAGTGCTGCAAAGGAAGAGCTCAGCCAGCTCAGACTGGATGTAAATGAATGTGCATCTGCCTGATCATCATAAAACCTGTTGGTTATTTTTAATGCCGGTGTCAGAAACTGTCGAAGGTCTTGATTCTACCCAGTTTTAAAGGTCCGTGCTGGATTGAACGCCAGAATCACCACTTGCAGATATATTCATTTTGTTATCATAATATTTACTCGGGCTGCCCCAGCTAAGAATTCTCCTAGTCGACCAATAGTTCTCACAAACTCACAAATAAAAGAACCAAACTGAACTCAGTCCAACATCAGAGGACTGGTTCTGTTTACTGTACACACCTCCTCTTCATCACACTCAGCTATTTATAAAGAAATAGGACATTCTCACAGCCACATTTGCATATTGTGGCTCCCTGATTGGCCCACAGAGAGGGGGGGGGGATGAAGAGGATGAAGATGAGGAGGAGTGTGTTGAGGAGTTTAATTGAGGAGGAAACAGTGAACGAGAAATAAACAGAATCACAGGACGTTCAGTGGCGTCAAGCTCTAAAAACACATCCTACATGTCCCATAATGCAACTTGATATCTTCTCTCCATCAGACGATCATGAGTTTATCGTGCACGTCGTAACTCTACGACACAGAATAAAATTAAAAAAAGACGCTGTTAATTTATTCTTCAGGATATGGAACGAACATCTGTCAGCAATTAGCAGTGTGTGCATCTCATTAAAGATGGCCGCTGGTCCCAGAGGGAGAAAAAAAACACACACAGGGGAGAAGAGAAAGTGATGTTCCTCATTACGGAGAGGAAACACACGAGACGAGGAGGAAGCTTCAAACAACAGCACGAATCACAGAAGCATTACCCGTAACTAATGCATGTGATTAATGAAGGTATGAAGGTCAGTCTTCTCATAAGATTATCGTGACTGACGTTATATATCAGACATATACAGCTCAGAATGAGGCTCAGTAACTCATAATAATGAGCTTGTTTTAGCCGGCCTGACACCAAACAAGTTTTCAAGCAGTTTTACAGGAGCAGACAAGTTTTATATGTCTAATAAACTCATGAAAGTGTTGCTAACATTGTGGCGCGCTCTGTGATCTGGACGACTTGGTGTGAGGTGGTCACAAACTCAGTCCAAACTGTCTTAAGTCAGCCTTTTCTTGTCTTGATGTTCTGATGAAATCAATCATGTTAATGTTCCCGAAACATTTTGGCTCATGCAAATACTGAAGTTTAATGTTATAAACACTGTCGACAGCCAACAGCTGCGCTCTGTCCAGCACCGAACAGGAAGCAGCAAACCGAGTGCACAGTACACACGGAGGGGACTCCAGGGAGGAGCAAGAACATGAACGAGTCTTGCTTCTCTTGTTCTGTGGAAAATCAGGAGAACCTGGTGGAGTTGTGGAGTGATTAACTTGGTGTGTATCTGATTTACCAACCAACACTTATCTTAGTGAGAAATTTTAGCTTTTGAAACATTTGGCCTCTCACTCCCACCTCCTCTGTCCACTAACACACCGCAGCCTACCAGCAGACTTTGAGGTGACAAAATCCTAAATGTAAAGGTTGTGTGCAAATACAGTTTATTTTTACATACATGTATAACAGGCACACTATCAGTACATGCTAAACTGTGCAGCATCTTCACTGAAATCGTTCAATAATGTGAAATCAGCCATTCTGTTTAATTTTATGCCTCTGGACCAACGACAGCCGTGCCATCATGTTTTTGGGTTGTCTGTCTGTACATTTGTTTCTTGTGAACACGATATCTCAAAAAATCTGCACTAACATTCACTGTGACTCAACGATGAACTGATTACTGGTCATAGGTCAAAGGTCAAAGTTTATGTGAACTCATCTGTCTCATTCTTGTGAACGTGACATCTCAAGAACACCTCAAGGGCATCTTTCTTTACATTTGGTGGTCAAGATAGCTGTGACCTTGCATCCATGCCATTCTCATGAATGCAATATCTCAAGAACAGCTTGAGGGAACTTGGCACAAACATTTACCTGAACTCAAAGATGAACTGATTAGATATAGATGGTCATAAGTCAAAGGTCAAGTCTACGTCATCTCATCTGTCTCATTCTTGTGAATGTGATACATCAAGAACACTTTGAGGGAATTTCTTCAAATTTGGCACAAACGTCCACTTGGACTGAAACATAAACTTATAAGGATTTTGTGGTTGAAGGTCAAAGATCTCTGTGGCCTCACAAAACATGTGTTTGGCTGTAACTCAAGAATTCATCCACTAATTCTAAAGAAATCTGGACTTGACCAGGGGACTTCACTTGAAGCTCACTGGCTATTGAAACAGGTGACGTGCTTTAAAACTAGCCGCCGACGATTTTCTCTGCAACATTCTAAAATGGTTTCGTCTTGTTGCCAATCTTTCGTCTGAACTGGGCTTAATGTTTGTGATTTTTGTGTGTGTATAAGGTCTGCTATTATGTTTTATTGTTTGTTTCTTTTTAGGCTTTTTTATGGTCTTATACTTATACTTATACTTTACCTACTTACTTATGTAACATTATGTAAAAATATCCTTATACAGTAAGTGTAGACAGGGCCTTAAAAATGTTCCTAACACTTCATAACACAGGATGGCATGATGTAATATAACTTGAATAAAATAAACGTGTTTGCCCAAAGCACCCACAGCAGGCATCCTCTGTGGAAAACACACACACACACACAAAGTCAGTCAGTGTCTGTCAACTCCAGCTGATCCTGTGTCTCGCCTCTCTCTTTCATTTGAAAATGAATTCTTCACTCGGAGGGATTTCCTGCTGTTTGGGCGACTCTTTACTGACCCAATCATTCGCGGCGTTTCAGCCGGCACTAAATTACACTCTGTGAGCCCGGGGAAAGATGAAGAAAATGAGAGTCTGTACAGGCCTGTAATACATAACCAGGTAATCAGTTCTCCCTTCGGAGCAGCAGAGCAGTGGTGTGATTGTGATAGCCCGTTAGCCCCCAATTATCAAACCAATTTCCTATTGAACAGCAGCGGCTCCTCTCAGCCATGATGCTTAATTAAATCCTCACATTGCTCACACCTCTATCATGACGGAGAGAGATCCTCCAGGGTGAGAAAACACTTCCACTCCTTTCATGAAAAGGTTATTTTTCAGAAATTAGGTTGAGGATTTAAATGCACAAATACCACAAGGGTTGTGTTATATTACAACATCTGGGTAAATCTCCTTGTTCTGTCTTCTCCAGAGTCAGATGAGCAGTTGGGTATTAGTCATGTCTCTGTGCATTCAGTTCAGGTCACCAGTCCACTAAGGGTGTAATGGTTCATGTTCATGATATGGCAGAAGAGAAGAAATGCTGGAGAAATGTCCTTCATTTTTTTTAATCTTTAAATGTATAAAAAATAACCTTTTTTTTTCATCTGTATAAAGCAGGAATTACAGTCGGGCTGAAAATGGGCCTGTTAGTCTGGGTAAAGCAAAATTATTGATTTCTCTCTCAGCACAATTTACATGTTATTAAATACCAGCACATTCTCACTGAGACCTCGTCACATGTCCACGTTTGGTCATGGACTTTCACGTCCACATATGACGTCCAAGGTACCCTGGGTGTGTTGGTTGTTGATGTTCTGGGACGCCGTGTCAACTTCAGCCTGTTACATGCATTGTCTGTTTTCAAAATACACTTCTGTTTTCACAGGAAATTTAACGTTTGCATACAGTCTCTTTCAAAATAAAAGCACTGCGTGAGTACAACACTGCAAATTGATGTTTTTTCCTTCAACAACAAACACACGTGGTTATATTTAGCAAACACATGCACGTGGTTCGGTTTAGAAAAAAATATCACGGCTGTATTAACAATCATACGGGAAGTGAACACCAGCCTCCCCGGTGAAGGTCGGAGGCTGCTGAACCCATCCACCACCACTCCCACCTATCCTCCTCGGACTTTCGCCCCCTTAACTCACGCTGTCGTCCTGCCATGTTTTCCCCCTGACGCGGCCAGTCACGGTTACACATTAATGGCGACCGGCCATTATCATGTATCATGCCGACATGAAAGGACGGCTTTTTCTGTGGCGTGTGACGCCAGAGGTCACCGCCCAAGAGCCCATATTTGACGCTGGAGTGAGACCGAGTTGAAAATACATGTTGAAAACGTAAAAAGATTGTGAACTGCTGAGTTGGACCAATAAACTGTTTCACATCATTTCTGTGTCCAGGATTTTTTCGTTGGGCCATCCTTAAGGTAACCCCTCCCCTACTATAGAAATACTATGTTTGTACTGACATCAGAGCACTCAGTATCTGTCATTTCTTTCACCCACTGTGTGTAGGCGGTGAGTTCACTATGTCCTCCGAGCTCTGTGCCAATGTTAGCTGCTAAACGAGAGGCTGTAGCTGCACAGCGGTTCTTGTTCCCTGGTTCGGGGTCTACTGGATTAGCTCCTGAGGAGAGTGTGTAGTGGTGTGTTGCCC